GCGCCACTTACAGGCCTGGCATACATTTTGCAGCGTTTTCATGCATTCGTGTGGTCGATCACATTTATTTTACGTCTCCGTCATTACGACAAACGTTCTGGAAAATATTAGCGTTTCGTGTTCGTTTTGACTTCGTGTGGACAGGGCCTTAGGACAGCTCAAAAGATGTATCTCATTTCACCGCATCAATTTAAACGTTTGACCCCGTCAAGAGAATTCTATAACACAGACGATTGAAGAGGATTTGGATTCTAAAATGAGAGAAATACTGAATGAAATGGGACTTCTTATGAGACAATGTCAGCAGGAGGAACCCCAAGTCACAGTAACCCCGAAATTCCACATCCTCCGTCACCGCTCCGCTCTGCCCCGTTGCGCTCCAGACCGTCTGAGCGAAGCAAAGCCTACATCATCCGCTGTTCCTCCTGTATTGTTCCTCTCCGACTTTCTCGGAGTTTGAGGAGAACATGCTCTATATTATTACATTCAAAGCAGCAAAACAGGGTTTCCGCGGATCATTACAAATATAGGCCTTAATTGGTACTAATTAAATATGATTATCATGGCATTTGAAATGCTTTATTTAAAAAAAAAATGTTTATGAAGACAATTTCGTCAGATATATTATATCCCAATTAATTTGTGCATAACTGCATAACTGCTGATCATAAAGCGGTATGTTTGGAAAAGAAGCTCGACGCTGAGAAAAAGCTAGAGAATGGGAAAATGCTAATTTTAACTGGAAAACAAGGAATTCAGGATATGGCTGATGATTTTGTTGTTTTCTCTATCTATCTATCTATCTATCTATCTGTCTGTCTGTCTGTCTGTCTGTCTGTCTGTATGTATGTACATATATACATAGCAGAGTCATGGAACTGTGCTTACAGCTCCTTCATATTTCATGTACACTAATAACTTGTGTACATGGTACTTGTTGATGGAATTAAAATAATTTCTAAAAGCATTAAAAGAGCATTCATTTAGAGTGACTCATTCCTGTATAAACCCTGTGAATGCATAATTTAATATGACATATAAAAAAAAACCCTACCAGCATCCAGCAGATGTTCAGTTTCTGCCAATTTATTTTCTTTTTGTTTTAGATTTTTTGTATAAGGGATAACTAGTTAGTACTACGTTTTGTATAAACCATGTTTGTTTTCTGCTTCCAAACTTAGCATCTTTTGATCCATTCAAGCAATAAGAACTGTCTTTTTAAGTTGTGAGAGGCGCTCTTAGAAGTTTTGACTGGATTTGATTAAACTTTTAAGCATCTCAGTGTAAAATATATATTTCGATGGAGATGATAAATCGGCTTCCTGGTTTGTTGAAGTACCAATAGTTTGCATCCAATCATTTACAAAAGTAAGGATTTTTATAACAACATTAAATCCAAAGATTTTGACCGAGGTACGGCTGATTTATTTGTTGTAGTCTCTTTTTATTCACACACAACAATAAGTCTTGAGTCTTGAAATTGCAAAGCTTTCTCTTAAAGGCCCTTAAGAGGGAGAACTGCAAAAAGGGGGTGGAGCAGTGTGTCCATCTGCAGCCAGAATGTTGGCATCCTCTTTCTTATCTTTGCCCTTGCTGAGGTCGATTGAGTTCAGGTTCAGAGGAGAACCAGTGGGGCAGGGAGAGGCTAGACTCTGATGCTCTTTGACAGAGTTGCAAATCACTTAAGAATCTGGTATTTGATTGGGGGACTCTTGAGCTGCGGACACTACAACCGGTTGAGTGAACCAAGCTGATAATGATGAGAAGAGATGTGCTGATGAAGAAGTGAAGGAACTCCGAAGATTTAAAGCTGTACCCATGAAAGTCTTCAGAAAGCTCTGAGAAGAACTTCTGCTAGATCTTCAGCTCCTCAAATGGGCATCCAATGGTCCTTTTGGGATGTTGCTTATTGAGATCCGTCTCTATGTCATCATTCAGGTTACACTGATCCTTGTCATCTACCTCATTCTCAGTGTCTGTCTCTGCCTCTGGCTCCTCGTTATCGTTTTCATCTGCCACATCATCCACCCCAGGAGGCCGGCTGTATAGCTGAGCCAAAGGCCCACCAGGGGGGACACGAGGCAGCTGAAAGTGGAAGGCTGACTTTTAGGAAAACACTTCGAGGCTTGAAGTGTTCACTAGTGGATCCAGTATCCGCACTGCTAGACACTCAATGGAGGAGTTGAAAAAGGATTCTAATGCCGTCAGCCTCTAAGAAAGCCTTTCGGCCCAGTTTGATGTTGGTAATGTTTTTGAGGCAGACCAGCAATCCTTTACGAATCAACACACATCTATGTCGGGTGTCATTGCAATGCAATTACAGGCACAGAGTGAGCAAGACAGACATATGGCCACTGTCCACCAAATGGCAAGCATTAGTTTTAGATTTGAGTAGAGCTCGAAGTGCATCCAGAGGTATCTTGAAGAGGCTGGTGTTCTTCTTACTGTAGGGCCCGACAATCTTGAAAATAAGTTCCATCGCACCGCATTTGCCCAAAGAAATAGCATTTACCGAGTTGGTACAGTAAACCCTGAGTACCTGCAGACAAGGCAGAAGCAGCTTTGTGTTCTGTAGATTCTGTTTTATTACATTGACCGTGATGTTCAGAGCTCCACTCAAACGTGCCTTTGCTCCAAACCTTCTGTCTTTCGGTCCAACCTTGGCCTGTAGTGAGTGAAGCTGCACCATGAGTTCCTCACTGGGAGGAAGCTCATTACTGGCAGAGATCAGAATCTGGAATAAAACTCCTGTTCCTCCTTTGGAAACAAACACTCCCACTATGCGGCCTCTGCCGATGAGCTCACTGAGGATGTACATGATGTTCAGAGTAGTCTGGACATCCCTGCTGTTCTCCAGAGAAGACAGGATGACCTCCATTCCTCTGGAGCCTTTAGACATCACCTCTTTTCTGCTCTTCTCCTGCATCTGTATGAGATGAATGATCTTCGCAGTGACCTGTCTTGCCGTTTCTACATTTCTCAATATGACCTCCACCTTCATCCTCTCCAGTTCGTTCATTTTTCTCCCACATCAAAAGGCCATGTTGTCTGCATTTAAAGGAGCTGTGGTCCAGTGGAAGCTGAGCCGAGTCTGACTCAGAGATAAGGCAGACAGCTACTGTTTGCCTGAAATGCCCTGGTGATAGTTTGGCTGAAAATTATTTATGAGACCCAATGAGCTGTTTCTCTTTCTTTTTTTCCCTTTGGTTCTTGGTTATTAACACAACAGCATGGCAGAGAGAGAAATGGTGCCCGATGTCAAGTCTTCGGTATGGTT